CCCCTTCCCTCCTTCTCCCACTCTCTCCACTCTTCTTCCCCTCCCCCTCCTTCCTCCTCCTTTCCTTTGTTCCTCCTCCCCTCCCCTCCCTCCTCCCTCCTCCCCGTGCCCTGCACAGGCACACTCACTGCTGGACTGATAATCGCTGACACTTGCTGTGACATAGCAGTGGTGGGGGGGTCTGTAAGGAGCCCTCCGGAGCTGTGGTTGCTGGGCCGGCAAGGGGCTGAGACTGTTTCCACGGTGGAGCCGTGCAGACAGAGCAGAATAGGAGCCTGCTCCGGTGCTGCGACCACGGCTAGGGGTCCGTGGGGAGCGCACACGCAGTCCGGAGGCTGCCCGCCAAGTCCCGGTGTGCTCTGGGCTGGGCTTTCTGCAGGCGTGTTTTCTTCTCTGTGTCCCGTTCTGTGTTTTACACGGTTTCCTTGGTAACCACGTAGTGCTTTTCTTTCTCGATGTTTGTTTATCCATTTTGAGAGAGAGAGAGAGTGTGTCCATGTGTGGGGGGGAGGGGCAGAGAGAGAGGGAGAGAGACAGAGTCACAAGCAGGCTCTGCACCATCGGCCCAGAGCCCGACGTGGGGCTCGAACTCTCGAACCATGAGATCATGACCTGAGCCCAAATCAAGAGTCAGAGGCTCAGCCGACGGAGCCGCCCAGGCGCCCCCACGACCTAGCACTTTTAATCATAACAACTTTAGGAGCTGTGTTGCTGTGTCCATCTGTTAGGTGCTGTTATTAGCTGTGGATGTGAAGTGTTATAAAGGGAACGGTGATGAAAAACACGAGCAGATGGGCTGGGGAGCCTTTCCAGGGGCCCCCCAAGTTCCCGAATGTGGCAGGGGAGGGGGCGACGAGGGTTCCGGGACTTGTAGGGGAGCGGGGTGGGGGGGGGGACAGAGCGGCCACCAGCAGGAGGGCGACCCCGCCGGTGGGTGAGTGCTGGTCAAGGGCGTGGAACCGGAGGCTCCCCCAACACCCCCATTCTTCCCCAGGAGGCCTGGACGTGGAGGAGGTGCTGCCCTCGGGCCTGCCCCCGACCTTCATCCACTTCACACACCACTCCTACGCCCAGATGGTGCGCGTACTGCGTCGGACGGCGGCCCGCTGCGCCCACATCGCCAAGACCTACAGCATCGGACGCAGCTTCAACGGCAAGGAGCTGCTGGTCATCGAGTTCTCGGCCCGCCCCGGCCAGCACGAGCTGAGTAAGCCGGGGCTGCTGTCGCTGCCCGAGGGAGAGGTCCGGGGGTGGGCTGGCTTCTGGCGAAGGGCTCTGGGCCTACCCGGCTTGGGGTGCGCAAGCCCGGGTGTGGGATCCTGGTCACGACAGGGATGGGGGGGCGGGGGGCGGGGAGCAGGAAGCGTTTGCGCTCTGCTCGGTGCGCTGGGGCGCATGGCCAAGTGGCGCAGGGTCTGCTGGGACCCGAGGGGGCGGTGGGAGCTGAGGGCACGGCCCCGAGGAGTGAACGTCGGGGAGAAGAGAAGTGACGCCCCAGTGCGTCTCCGGGGAGAGGTGACGGGGCTCCGTGCATTCTGTGGTTTTTGCCACCTTGCCCTGCAAGGTCTGCAGCCAGACCCCAGGCACGTACGTGTGGCCCTTGGTCCCGAACACTTTACGCTCCTTTGAGCTGCTTGGTGAACATGATGTCACAGAACAATCTGAATGAAGGACATCGTCCATTTAAAAAGCCCCAGCCCCTGGAGCTCAGGCGTAGTGGTCCCCTTCTGAGTTCTGAGGTGGGGCAGAGCTACGTGGAAAATTCCAGATTGTATTGCACCTCCAGAGCTGTGTTGGTGTCGGCAAAGCAGGAGGTCAGACTTCGTGACCCTCCAGAGCGCAGGTGCTGGAAGGAACTCACGGTGAAACCAAATCTCGAGGGCAGGCCGGGCCCTGGGGGCCTGGGGACCGGCTCAAGGATCCAAGATACTCTAGCAAAGACTCAGCCCCTGGAGGGGCGGCCTGGGTGCCCCGTGTCGAGCTGAAGTCCACCATGAACTTCTCCGGGGCACTGAGGGCATGTCTGGGCCACGGGGGCCTGGTTCTGGCCTCTGCCAGGAGCCCTTCCTTGGCCCTGTCCCTCAGCTGGTCTGTCATCGTGACCATGTGAGGCACGTGGGGTCCATCGAGAAGCAGGTCCCATCGGACCCTTGGTCGTTTGATTACTGAAAATTATACCATCTGGGTTCAGTGGCTCTGACGCCTTTGCTGGGTCGGCCAGCAAACCCGAGTATTTGGGCTGCATGGACATCATGAGCCCAAAGTCCTGGCTCCTGCTGAGGGTCAGAGGTCCCCTGGCCCACCCCAGCCTCCGAGCTCCCCCCTCCCCGCCTCATACCGCCTTGGCTCGCGGGCTGCCCCAGGATGAAGACAGGACCCTTTCCTCTTTCAGACTGGTGTGTGGCTTTGCAGTGTGGTGAGGGCGTCCCCTGTGAGAAGCCAAGGGGGTGACCGTTGCGGGAAGCATCAGGGTCATTTATACTCTCAGAATTCAGGAGGCACGTGAGCGTCTGCTCCCATAGCTGCGGGTCCTGGGGCCGTGCACAGCCAGGGAAGGAGACGCTGTTTTCCAGACGAACAACGTGAGGCTCAGAGAAGAGACGTGATTTGTATGAGGTCACAGTTAGTAAGGCTGCCAGGCTCCTGCTCCGCTCTTCCCTTCCAACCACAATCCACCCTTTGCTTCTTCCTTCCTTTGCTTCTTCCTTCCATCCGTCATCCATTCTTCCAAACTAACTTCCTTTTTTTCTCCCTGCCTTCCTCCCTCCCCCCTCTTTCTCTCTCTTTCTTTCTTTCTTTCTTTCTTTTTCTTTTCTTTCTTCCTTTCTTTCTTTCTTTCTTTCTTTCTTTCTTTCTTTCTTTCTTTCTTCCTTCTCTTCCCCCCTTCCGCCTTCTTCTCTTCCCCCCCCTTCCAATCATTTGAGGGCCAGCTGCCTTCCCTTCTCAGCACCAATGTACACCCTAACTTACTACACAAATGTGGAAAGTGGCTATGAATAACATTCACACAGAGCAACGACACCATATATCATTAGTTAATATCCTTGATGTGTCATGCTAATAATCACAGTTAAAGGTAGGAATTGAGCTTAGTAAGGAGTGACTTTGATGAGACATGAGTCATAGAGATGCTTGGGCCAAAACAAGTATGGCTAGGTCCCCAAGCATCCCGCCAGCCTTGCCACGTGGGCCCTCAAGTCTCCGGGGACCCTAGGGTTTGAGATCACCCCTCAGGTCGCTGTATCTCCCCCAAGTGGAGCCTGAGGTGAAGCTCATCGGCAACATCCATGGCAATGAGGTGGCAGGGCGGGAGATGCTCATCTACCTGGCCCAGTACCTGTGCTCCGAGTACCTGTTGGGCAGTCCCCGCATCCAGCGCCTGCTCAACACCACCCGCATTCACCTGCTGCCCTCCATGAACCCCGACGGGTACGAGGTGGCGGCCGCCGAGGTGAGTGCCCCCCACACCGGATCCCGCGCGCTGCGGGCACGCTCCCATCCGTTCACTGGCTAGCAGTCATGGAGGGTCTGTGCGCCCACCGTTCTGGGTGACGGGTGTTCAGCAGGCAGCCGCACCAGCAAGGTCCTACGTGAGGGTGGGGACAGACACCGGCAATTCTGGATGAACGAGAACCCGTGTTCTCTGGAGAAACTGGGGGAGATCTCACGCAGGCCGGAGGGCGGGGAGCTGTCTGATGCGACTTTGAGCAGAGCCCCAGTGGAGGTGGGGAGCGAGCCGTGCACATGACTCCTGGGGGCATTCAGGCGGGGGATCAGCCAGTGCAAGGCTGCAGGGTCGGCAAGCAGGCCGGCCGGAAGGGAGGGCCAGACAGGTGGGAGAGGAGGTCAAGGACAGCTTGGCCGGACACGCTCCCAAGTCCATCACCTGAAGCCAGAGGAAAGCTGCAGCCCTCACCTCCCACTCAGCCCAGCCCAGCCCTGTGGCCTCCCTTCGGAAAGAGGCAGGGCGGGGTGTGCTGACCCCCAGGTGGGGGTGGGCTGTGTTTTCAGGGCGCTGGCTACAATGGGTGGACGAGCGGGAGGCAGAACGCGCAGAACTTGGACCTGAACCGTAACTTCCCCGACCTGACATCTGAGTACTACCGCCTGGAGGCATCCGGGAGCATCCGCAGCAGCCGCATCCCCATCCCGCAGCACTACTGGTGGGGTAAGGTAGGAGCCACCCCCACCACCCCCACCCCGCACTGGCCTGGGCCCGGCCCACGGGTATGCGCCTGGGGGCAGGTGCTCTGGCTCTTCCCGGGGCCCACAGGAGAGCAGCCTGAGCCCCCTGAGTCTGTTTCCCGCCTGGGAAACGGGGATAACCCTTCACTGGGTTGTTGGGATGCAGGGAACACGGACTGAAAACACCCTGGGCCCGGCAGGTACTCAGTGACGGCAACCCGGGCAGGCTGCCTGGAGGCAGTGACGGCCTGAGGAGGCGGGAAAACCAGTGTCAGGCGGGGGTGTGGGCATGAGCCTGGCGGCATCGGAAGGAGATCCTGAAGGCAGGGCAGGGTAGGCCGGCCCGGAGAGCCCAGAGACGGCTGTGACAGAGCCTGTGGACATGGCCGGGGGTGGCCAGCAGGGGCGTGCCTGGTCCCGACCCACGGTGGCCTCCTCTGTCCCGGGCAGGTGGCCCCCGAGACCAAGGCGATAATAAAGTGGATGCGGACCACCCCGTTCGTGCTCTCAGCCAGCCTCCATGGGGGCGACCTGGTGGTGTCCTACCCCTTTGATCTCTCCAAACACTCCCAGGAAGAGAAGTTTTCTCCCACGCCGGATGAGAAGGTGAGTGTGGGTGTGCCGTGTGTGCGTGCATGGGAGGCTGCGGTGTGGGGTGGCGCCCTCGGGGCTGGCTTTATCCCTGTTCTGAGCTCAGTGAGACCCGTGCAGTCACAGCACTAGTAGGAGCTCTCCAGGCCCAGCTCGAAAGCCCCCTCCTCCAGGAAGCCTTCTGGCCAGCGGGAAGCAGCCCATCCTTCCACTGGCCACACCCCACTTTCCATCAGTGTCCCCACCTGGGAGCCCCTAGGGTGGGGGGTTGCAGCCCCAGTGCCCTCCCTGCCCGGCTGGTGGCCTGGTGTTTTGTGTCCAGGGACAGGGTGGGGTTCCAGGCATTGCCAGCAGAGGGCAGTGCTGCAGCGCACATGGCGCCTGCGGGGCTCTTGGCCGCCTCCCTGCTTCCTGTGGGCCTTGCAGGTCTGTTAAGGGCCACCAGGCGGGCTCCGTGGGAGCTGGGGTGCAGTGGGTTCAGAGTAGAATTCTGGCCCTGGAGTGCCCTTGGGTCTGAGGAGGACTTGCCTCTCTTCAGGCCTCAGTTTCCCTCACTGATCAGACCAGCAGGGCGTGAGACGTGATAATGCCCAGAACCTTCTCCACCCCACTCTCCCCTTAAGGACTCGCTGCCTGCAGCCCCCCAGTCCTGACCCTCCCCCTGCCTGATCCTGGAGTCTTTGCAGGCTGGGCTTCCGGGGGCGGGGAGGTGCCACTTTCCATTTCACGGAGGTGAAGGGGGCGATCCGTGATGGCCCAGGGCCCGTCGGCAAGGGCCCCGGAGGAGCCGCCCGAGCTGCCCGCGGTGACCCCTCTCACCACGGCCAGCCCCTGGGCTCCTTCCCATCCCCTCCCGGGACGGCAAAGCTGGACGCTCTTCCTTGGCGGCCTGGGGCCTCGGCCCAGGCCACTCGAAAGGCCTGCCGGTGGACCAGACGTGGTGCGGGGCCCGGCCTGCTCTCTCCCTCCGCCGTGGGGGTCGGCTCTGCCTCCCCCGGCCTCTCCTGACCCCTGCGCTGCAGGTCTGGATCGAGCTGGACCGGCCCTTGCCCTGAGGGCCCCATCCAGGTTCGGAGGCGGAGCCGGACACGGGCAGGGACGGGACAGAGGGCCGCGCGCGGTGGGGGGGGCCGGGGGCCACGCAGGCTGTGTGGACGTGAGCCAGGAGGGTGAACCCCCAGCCCGTCCTGGGCCTTCAGGAGGGCTTCCCTGAGGAGGCGTCTGCCTCGGCGGAGCCTGAAGGAGGTGATTTCCCACAGGCACCCAGACGGGACCCCCAGACCGGGCCAGGCGTGCCCCGGAACTGGGGAGGCGGAGCCCGGGCACCAGGCTGAGCGCCCCGCCTCCACCAGAGCTGGGACAGCACTGCCATGTGGCCCAGGCCTCTGGTCCCACGTCTTCCGCCCTTGCTCTGCCGAGTCACTCGCTCACTCGTCCATCCGTCCACTCGTCTGTTCATTCACTCATTCACTCCCTCCCTCATTCATTCATTCCCTTGTTCACTGCCTTAGTCATTCACTCACCCATTCACCTAGTCACTCACTCACTCACTTGCACACTCAGTCTCCCACCCACACACTAACACGCTCACCCCTCACACACCCGCTCATACACTTTCTCACACATTCACCCACACACTCACCTGCCTTCTCACATTCACACACTCACTCACATACACTCACACACCTTCTCATACACACACCCACTCTCACACTCACCCCCACGCTCACCCACTTACCCACTCACACCTACTCATATACCTTCTCACACACTCACATGCTTGGTCACACACGCACTCACACATCACACACGCGTACACCTTATCACACACTCACCCACATATCCACTCACCCACTTGCACACTCATGCACTTACACACTCACACACCCATACACCTTCTCAGGCACTCCCACACACCCAATCACAACCCACTCATACACCTTCTCACACACTCACACACACTCACCCAGCCACACACCCACACATGCACCTCACACACTAACCCACTCACACACTCACTCATACACCTTCTCACACACTCACACACTCATCTACTCACACACCTTCTCACACTCACATACTCAGTCACTCACACACTTACCCAGTCACACACCCACTCGTACACCTTCTCACGCACGCACTCACTTGACCCTGCAGCCAGCACATGCCCCGGTCTTGCAGGGGGGGCCGGGTTCTGTGCTCAGAGTTCAGCAAGTGACCCAGGCCGGGTGGTGACCCAGACGGCAGGGCCAACATCTGGACGAGCCCGTGTCCTCTGGGCAGCAGGAGCCCTCAGCGCCAGGCCCGGCGTCTCTGAATCTCAGAGGCAGACGCGTGAAGACGTCCCTAGGGGGGAAGTTCACCTCAACGAGTCCCTCCAGAGTCAGAAAACTGAGGCTTTCCCACCAGCCATCAATCAGGGATCGATAATCCTCAGGCCCATAGCCAGCAGTGGTCTCAGTGGAAACCAGGGTCCCGGGAGGGGTGCCGGGGCGTGGGGGAGCGTGAAGAGGGGCCGGCCGGGGTGTCCCAAGCCACCTCCCCCAGACTCCCGTGGCGCCCCGTGGATGAGAGCCCACACCTCCTGGCGGTGTTCTAGGCCCCCAGGCCGGCCGTGGCCGCCCGCCCCGCTCCTGTCCCCCCTACACCTGTCCCTTCCGCCGAAATCTTACTCCCAAGCCGGGCTCAAGCTCTGTCCTGCCCCGCAAACCCTCCCCAGCCCAGCCCATGTCCAGCAAGAGCGAGCGACAGTTTCTGCGGGGTCTCGGGCGGCCCCAGCGAGGCAGTCTGGTCCTTCCCGGGGCCTGGGGCCCCGCAGCTGCCGTGTCCCTGCCACCTTACCGTCCTAGCAGCCTGCCGCACCGCCTCCTCTCATTTACAGCCGTCTGGCCTCTGATGTCCTTGTGCCGCGCCGGCCCCCCGGGTCGGGCCTGTTCCCAGCGGGGCCTGCGGCTCGGGCGTCCCTGGGCTTCGGGGACGATGATGGCGTTCCCCGCTCTCCTGAGGGCACACGCTTTGGTGGCGGGGCTGACTGACGGGTGAGGGGAGGGAGACCCAGGCAGGACGGGCGGGGAGGCCGAGAGGGCAGGGCTCGCAGCGTGTGGTCCGGCCTCCCCTACCTGCCTCGGCCCAGGCCCCACTTTGCAGGCAGATGGGAGGCCAGAAAGGTGGGAACTGGGCAGAGCTCTAGCCACCAACCCCTCAGCACGTGGAGGCAGAGGGCAAGTTTCTTAGGCCCCCGGACTCCTGGCCGAGGACATTGTTGCAGCAGGGGCTGCCCCCGCAAGACATCCGTGCCCCGTCTGCAGGCCGGCCTCAGTGACTGAGGGACACGCCCCGGGTTGTGTTTTGGGGGCTTGGTTTGTGTCTGTGGGGCCGAGCTGACTCTGCACAGTCCTCCCCCCGAGAAACCGGACCCTCCTTCCCCAGACCCCGGGGGCCCTCGCTCTGGTCTGACCCCACCTGCCCAGCCCACCCCCTTTTTACAGAGGGATCTCCATCTCGGGACAGGCTTCTCCCGGGGCCGCAGGGCTCTGACAAGGGTAGTGCAGTGGCCCTCTCGTCCACACGGCGCCCCCTTGGGAGCTTCCGCCCGGAGTCAGACCCGGTGTCCTGTGCTGGGACATAGGCACAGGAAGCCCCTTGGGCCCCGCCTGGGGTGGGGGCCTGACGGGGCGCGTGCTGGGCTGGGGGCCGGGGCCGTGAACCTGCCAGGAGGTGGAGGCTCCGTGGGCTGTGTCCCACGTCCCCCCACCAGCCACCTGGAAGGCGCTTGTCATATGGCAGCAGGTGGGGGCTTCCTCAGGTACAAGTTGTCCCCGGGGAATGTGAAGCGACAGTTATTGTAGAGGAAATCGGTGGTGACGTCAGTGAACGTGAGGCCCACTCTAGCCTCCTGCTTCCCCCAAGGCCCGCCTTCTGCAGGAAGCACCTTGGAAAGTGCAAAGCCAACCTCTGCGAGCCCTGCCAAGGTCCCTTCAGTGTGCCCCCAGTGTGCCCCCTCTTCGAGAGAAAGCTCACACTCCCCGGCCAGGGTGCAAGGGTTCCACGATGTGCCACGTGGCCACCACCGGTGCCTTGAGCTCTGGCTGTCTCGCCCCCGGCTTTTGCACGTGCTGAGCTGCTTCTGTGGACACGACTCCCGTGTATCTGTGCTGCAGGTGTTGGCTGTGGGGGCCCCTCCTTGCTCCGTTCCCCCCAGTGCTGAGAGAGTTCTGCAGGGGGCCCCAGCTCCTGGCCTTGGCCTCACAGGAAACCTCTCCCTTGGCCTCCTTTCCAGATGTTCAAGCTGCTGGCCAGGGCCTACGCGGATGTCCACCCCATGATGATGGACAGGTCGGAGAACAGGTGTGGTGGCAACTTCCTGAAGAGGGGCAGCATCATCAACGGGGCAGACTGGTACAGCTTCACCGGAGGTGCGGGGGTGGACAGGC